TGATAGTGCTAATTGAAATATTCAAAAAAGTTGTAACAAAGATGGTAACAAAAAGGCTTACCAAAGTATTTATGAAAAGAGAAGTACTTAAAGGACCAAACTTTGCAGGCTTTTCAGGAAACTCAACAGAGCAACCAGTACAGATTTTAAATATAATAATGGAGGAAGCAAAAGAAAAAGATAAAGAAATATGGATACTGTTGCAAGATATGAAAAAGGCATTCGATTCAGTTCCTCTCGAGAGTCTTGAACTAGCATTGCAAAGAATTAAAATACCTAAAAGAACAATTAAATATATTTTGAAGCTGTTTTACAAAAGACAATTGAGAATAATTATATCTTATAGCTTAACAAAAGATTTAATAGCAGGAGATGGAATAGACTAAGATGAAGTAATCTTATCACTAATATGGTGTTTCTTTTATAACCCATTACTAAAAAAAATTCAAGAAAATGAAAGTTTAGAATATACAGTTGAGTAACATATACAAAGAAACATGTAATATAACAATATTATAAAATATTATCAAGCAGCAATTGTATATACAGATGATACAACATGGATTTCAAACAGTAAAAGACAACTTTTAGAGATCTTAAAAATAGCTAAAGAGTTCTTTGAAATGAATAATATAGAGATAAGTAGATCAAAGTTGAAATTAATAATAATAAATACAAAAATCAGAAAAGAAGAAAGGACAGTAATATATAGAAAGAGCAAGATAGTAGAAGAACCAATATATAAAATAGTTTACTTATTGAGAATATGGTTAAACAGTAGAATGCAAGAAGTATAAGTAAAAAAGAAGACAAAAAGAATAGTAAGCCAGACTATAAGAGATCTAAGATACAAAAAAATGACAATAAGCCAGATTGTATATATAAACAATATGATAATAATACCCAAACTAAGCTATATGTTACAATTAATGAAGATGTCGAATAGAAGCTTAAATGAAATATATTAACCAATAATAAGTTTGGCAAAACAAAAGAGTAACTTGCAAAGAATAATAGAAAACTGCATAATAGAATATAAAGATCTTGGCAGCTATAAAACATTGTGATAAGAATTAACTATGAAGCAAATAAGTAGCCTTGTAGCAAGACTGAACAAACAAGACAGTTTTGGACAGCTAACAAGACTAAGAATAACACAAGACTGTCAAAGAGTAGGCTTAGTAGAAGATGAAAAAGTGGTCAGAAATTAAAACATATTTGAAGAATAACTTAGTGTATCTTATAATACTTAAAGCAAAAAAACTAAAGATAAATATTAGAACAGAAGATAAACTATAGACAATATTTAAGTATAGTACTAAAATACAAGAACTGATAGATGCACAATTGTAGAAAAAAGGAGTAGTTAGAGTAAATGAAACTGGTCTAATATATCTAAACCAACTACTCAATACAAGGAGAGAAAAACTAATTATATAGCAGCAACTAAAAAACTATCAAGACTAATCAAGTAAAGGAAAGAAAGCAGAATAGTTCAAAACAATTAAATCAAAAGTGCTCAATAGCCTAGAAAATAGAGTAGTACAAAGATGCTTTAAAATGAATAGACAAAACACTTAGGCAATGCAAGTCAAATAGAAACATATATCAGAAGATAGAAAAAGGAAAGAATAGATAGTATATAGTACACAAGACTACAGACAGTTTGGAAAGTTGATTAAAAAAAAAAATATTGTTAATTGAACATTGGCAAATAAAGTACAAAGAGAACAAAGTAGCAACTAAGATCAACAGATATGAAAGATGTATAAGTAAAAAAGAACAGATAGAAAACAGTTGCTAGCAATAGATAAGACTAAATAAAACATTTATATAATTCCAGATATATTAATAAGAAAGGGTAACAATCAAATTAAAATAGCAATAGACCAAATAATAAACAAAACAGAAATGAACAGATTAAAAATAATTAAATACAAGCTAAAAGGTCTTACAATAATAGAAGAACTAAAGATAGAAATTATTAAACAACAAAAATTAGAAGGAAATGTTAGCCAAAAAATAATAGAAGTCCTAAAAAAAAACATTATAAGAAACAAGAACAAATATATAATATATACTGATAATGCAACTAATAAAAGAGATAGTAAAGAGCTAATATCTAAAAACAATATAAGAATAGGATAGGTCCAAACAAATGAGACACCAAAATGGCCAGAAGAAGAATTAGCATTTGGACTAGAAGGATGGCAAACATCAACAGTAGCAGAGTTGGTAGCAATTTGGGTAGCAATTCTAACAATATCTAAAGAAAAACAAATAGAAATATATACAGATAGTAATGCTGCAATAAAAAACATTAGTAGAAGTTTAGAACAAGTAGACAAAAACAAAATTATTAGGAAGAAAAACATAATATAGATAATGAAGATTAAAGACCTGGTCAAGACAAAAAACATTCAGATAGATTTAGTTAAAGTTAAAAGCCATAGCAAAAACAAATGAATGATAGAGCTGATAGTTTAGTAAAGAAAAAAACAATGAATAGAAAAATAGTACAGGCTAAAAAAATTAGTTATAAAAAAATAGAATACTGCCTAGAGTGAAAAAATAGAAGAACTGACATACTAGTAAGACTGTTTTGTAAATTAGTAACAAATACAAGACTAGGAGCAGAATGAAAAGAAACAAAAATAGTTAAAAGTTTAGAACCAGATGCAGAAATCACAATTTATGACTGGATTTATTTTTGAAAAAGACTAAAGACATTGAAAGGAATTTACTGTACAACAAGAAGAAGTAGCTCTAGAAGAAGTGCATTTATTAAGTACATAATAGATAAATTTCTGATCTTAGAAGAACTCAATAGAAGAAACTCAGATATATACACAACAGTAGAATGCCAAGTGTGTCAAGATAAAGTAAAAAAAATGCAAGCACACTTGATAGCATGCAAAGAACAAAGAAATCTCTAAAAGAGAATCCAAAAAATGACCATTGCAACAGCATGAAAGAAATTAAAAGAAGAAGAAAAGATTTAGATTTTCTCATATATGTTATATATAGCACTCTTTGGGAAAACAGAAGCAGAGAAAGTTAGAATAAGAAAAACACTAATAAAAGACTTAATCCCAAAAAAAACACAAAACAAACTAGCAAAACTATTAAACATGAGATCAAGACAGCAGTTTACAAATACAGTAGTAATAACAGTTTGAGATACATTTTATAAACAAGAATAAAGAATATGTTGTAAAAAAATTATTAAATGAAAGAAAAAAATTAAAATAACAGATAAAATTAAAAGAAAAAAAAGTGAAAACTAAAGGAATCAAGAAAATAAGAAATGGCAAATTAGAAAAAAAGAAAAAAGAAAAAAAAAGAAATAAGAGAAAAAGGAAAACAAGTTGAAAAAGAAGTAATGAAGACAATGTTAAGGCTTGTTATAAAAGAAAAAAGACCTTTCTATTATGGACTTTAAGTAGTCAGATGAGCAACTTACTTCTGTTTGAAGTAATGTAACAAATTGCATTTAAATACCATTAAGGTGACCAGGTGATGCTAAACTTAGATATTAGAGATATTTATGTAGTTACAAATGTAATTCCAAAAACCTAATAAAGTATTAGCATAACTGCTTATATAAAAAAAAAAAAAATGTTTAAATAAAAAATCCACAAACAGGTTCTAGGTATAACAACTAATATAAAACCTTCAGACAAACTATTTAAAATAGACAATAACTAAAGTTGTACAAATGACTAATTGTACACTCTTTCTATAATTGCCTTAGTAGTTGTTATACACAATAACTATAAGCCAACATATTACTAATAAACTTTTGAGTTACATGTATTTATCTTTAAAAAATATATATATATAAACCCTATTTATATATAAAAATTTTAAATTTTTTAAGGTATTTTTTTTAGAATTGTTTAAAATTTAAAGTTATAAAAATTATATACGAGTGCATAAGAATAAAAACATAAAAACCAATTTAATAATTTACTATAATCGGTTTTCAGATTTTCATCCATATAGATTTTAGTAAAGCTTATATTTTCAATCGAAACCCCAAAATTTCAGCATTAGCCGCAACATTAGAAATGGTTTCGGCTTAATTTAAATCTAATATATGCAGGTTTTGCATTAAATTGAACCAAATTAAACTTTTTCATTTTTATCCAAAATATCTTATTATTTCTGTATCTAGAGTAGAAATATAAAGGTAATCCTACAGTACGTATGAATTCTGTGCCAGGCTTGTGGCGAAGATTGTAGTTAGGGTTAGCATTTAGACTAACGTTAGAGGTTAGTTGATTATATAGTAAAATCGCTCTTGTTGGAACATTGTTTTATGAAGATGTTACTGAAATTTGATTTGCAGATTACACAGATTATGCACCATTATGCATCGTGTTTTGTTTTGATCTTAATCTAGTAATCATGCACATGTACGATTGGCTGATGTAATTCAATTGATCAGATATGCATCTGAAAAATGTGGTACGACAGTGAATAGACTACAAAGAAATTCTTTTGCATATTTATCACGACAAAATGTTAACAGGAATATAAATTTTTAGGGTTGAAAATTACCGTAATTTTACGTAATTTTACTAAGCTACGTAGCATTAACAATTCCGAACATAATGAAAGATATCTATCTATTAGAGCTGGCTAAACTTTTGTAATGTCGGTAAAGTTATCATGTGACAATGCACTATTCAATATAAAGTTACATTACATGAAACGTAACAAAGTAATTTATATTAGAGCTGATACCTATTAAATAATTACAATTTCTCTTCGCTGAGATTTCAAGGCTTGGAAGATATATAATGAATTAAACTATATATATATATATCGATATGCTTAGTTCATGCGTATTAAAACTAAATCGGATGATTTTTTGTCAATATCAGGTGATATTACGTTACAAATCACAATAAACTGATAAAAGCCTCAACCGATTTTTTTTTTTGATTTTTTTTTTTTAATTTCAAAGGTACAAAATGTTATCTAAACAATTTCAGTGGGAAGAAATAACAAAAAAATTTTCCGAAATTTTATATCCTCTTGGATTTGATTTAGTGAAAGCATTTCCTGCTCAGAGGTATTATTTCCATCTATATATTACATAAATTTTTTTTTTGTTATCGATTTTTATCTAAAATTTTTTTTTATACTGATACATACACAAGATATAACTCAAATATATCACCTGCAAATTCATTGGCTCCACTACCAACATATTTTCGAACATCAACTTTATCGATCATTGTAGGAAATACTAAACTTCTTTGGCCAAATTTTTTAAAATTTTATACCAAATTTTCAAACATCACAACTAAAGCAACTAAAAGTAAATCTAGATCCAATCATCTCATAAACTCATCGTCATATGACCAAGATGATGACCTAGAGAGATTTAAACAAAACAATCCTCTTGATTGGTATACCATCCAAAGTATCACTTCAGCTGTCAAACAATTAATTTCTAGAAATAACATTTCTATTAGGTATTCTGATATAAAATATGATATAAGATATACCTTTGATTTTGATGAAAAGAAATTTGTAGCCTTCCAACGATTAGCTCAAGATGCTGGTTTGGCTTATTATAATAGAACTTGTTTTTTGTGTGTTCATGAAGAATTTGGACCTTGGTTTGCATTAAGGGCTGTTGGTATGTATCATTTTGATCATTGATTCTATGTTATTATAAATGATTGTCGCAGCTAATGCTGAGAATAGAATTTAATTTTTTTATTCGTATTTAGTAACATTTGATATAGAAGGTCCACCAAATGACTCATACTTATTTCCACCACTTAAAAATCCATATCCCGAAGGTGATGAACTGCTTAAATTAAAGATGACCAAAATTTTTGGAACTGAAAATCACAACTATCATCAATCCGCAACATTATCATCACATTCGTCCAAATATGAACCTGCTAAAAGAAAAACAGGAACGGATGATGATATAATAAAAAATTTTATGAATTCGCGGGGCGATGCGGAATGGTACGAGTGGGTAGAATTAAGAGACATTGTATCTGGATTTATGACTAAATATAATTTAGAAAAATACAGATACACTGAAAAACAAATAGAATATCATTATACTCATAATTTGAAATTGTTACAAGATTTATGTAAAAAGATTTCTTAAAGGTTTTAGTTTAATGTTAATTACACTACTTTTTTAATTTTATTTCTATCTGTTGTACGGCTAAGTGCATAGGCTTTATTAAATTACAGCTGTTTTGGGACATCTAGTAAAAAATTGACAAATTTGATTTCGGCAGTAATAAACTTTTGATTTGGGAATGATTAGTAATATAACGATATTATTATTATATATAACGACATTTTTTTGCAACTGTATTTTGAACGATACTACAATGTTGGTGTGTTTAGTCTGTTCGAAAATTTATAAAATCTATGGTGAAGATTGTTCTTGCCAACCAGCATATCTTGACAAAAAACACAGAGTTCGAATATAAACACATTACACGAGCAGACGTTGGTTGTTTAAAATATATAACGCAAGTTATTATTTCAAGCAACCAAGATTTTATTATTTAAAAGTTTTAATAATGATTATTACAAAATATAAGTCAAAAAGAAACCAGCTTGAATTGGATGAGGCATTGAAACAATAGATTTGACGACTAAAAGTCCTTTAACTTGCTCATCTATGATAAATATTATAAAGACGTTCAGCTTGTCTGAAATAACAGCAATTACATGAGAAAAACTTGTAAAAACCCGTAAGTAAAAAAAAAACTCGTAAGTAAAAAAATACAAGTTTTGTCTGATCGGACTTATCATGTAAATCACATGAATTACATATCATACACTCATATCTTTATCGTAAGATGTACGTATACATTATTACAGTATTATCAAAAACTTATCGAATCGGCAAACAATACTTCGGTCAATTTCAATTTTTTACCAAATGTCCCAAAAATAATGAAAGCAGCTGTAAATACTTGAAATCTTGGCTAGCAAATATTTCAGTTGGCTTTATTATATGCAATGTTTTCAAAGTATCATAACGATAAGATCAAATTCAACTATTAAATATGATTATCTGGGTACTATGTGAAGAGGAGGAGGGAGGGGTACTATATTAGGGGGTATATTGAAAAGAATATTTAATAATACATAATACGTGTTGATCACATAACAGGATCATTGATTCGGCAACTTTAGTACTTTCCCGATACTATTTATTGTGGTGTGACCTCTGCGGGATCATCATGTAATGTAAAATCGCGGGAAATTAGATGATTTTTCGATTCAAAGAGAATTATACAGATTTCCAAATATATATAGATATCACTGGTCGAACATATGATTGATAGAAAATCTAGAATATTGGAAATTCTCCACTATCGTTATCACAAAACTCGTGAGACCACACTAATATTACCTACCCGAATAATTCTAGTCATAACCCAGTTGTTCGGTTACCACGAGTAATCCGGGTAATATGCGATCCGGATATCTGATTTTGTCCAAACATGTTTGATATCACTACCCAACCTACCATACTTAGGGTACATATGTATGCGATACAAAATTAATTGTTGGAGCTCATCATGTGATTAGAATTTTAAGGGCGTATATCGACGTCAAATGCATCAAATAATTGCTAATCAAGTCTTTATTGTGATTATTAATAAGGTCTTTATTGTAATAATTCTTTGTTCAGGACCTTCCAATAAGCAAAAAAAAACTGATTTAATGGCATGAAATAGGATTTATTGAGAACTACGAGAGTTGTACAAAGCTTTGACACCTTGATCTTAGCGTTAAAGATTAGTATCTGGTCATATTGGAATTGTACTAAAAACAAACATTCAATTCCAAAAATCAGCCGGTATGTATCGTATGTTTGAACATCATCGATAAACATGATTAACGCGTGTAACCAATAAAGGTAAGCAATTGATAAGCAAATTATTTATTATTTTCTAAAAATGGGATAACTTATCGTTATGCTTTAACTGTTAAATTAAAATACATTATAAAACTGGTTCATGAAAAAACGTGTCATCGAAATAAGAAATCGTACGATACTATTATAAATAACTGTTACAAAAAGAACACAAATCAGGAAACGCCAATCAATAATCTTCCTAAAGGAATTTATCATGATTAATTGTCGTTATGCATATATGTAGATTATAAAGTTACGCCTTAATTGGGTTGCCTAGAATCGTGGTTATCCCTTACTTCAACAAGGTAACTATAATGGAAAGATAACATAATACACTAATACTTTTAAAATCTTGTTTTAAAAATTTTTTTCTAATTAAACAAGTCAAGCAAGATTTTACACTTGAATATTGCCGTAATTTTGTTTTTGCATGCATTACAGCCCAAGGGTCATTATGGGCGTTATGACTGCGATAGCTAAGTACAAAGAGATCTCCCTAAATCTCTTTAATTGCCTATAGTACCTATAATACCTATAGTAGTACTATGTATATATTGAATTTAGGAGGTCTCTCTATACTATAATAATCATAATAATAATCATATAAAATTTACTTATACTGACTTATTATATAGCCATTAATTAATAACCGTTTCTATGCAGTAGTAGCCGATGAAAAATAAACAGGAGGAACCGTCGATGTTACACGACTGATCCTTCACCCGGTGTGCAACATATAAAAAAATTATTTTACAATAATAGATCATTCCGCTAGTACATGTTATGATTATTGTAAAATAATTTTTTTATATGTTGCATACCGGGTGAAGGATCAGTCGTGTAACATCTACGGTTCCTGTTGCCCAATATTGATGTTATCCGGCGTTTATATGACCATGTGAAGTTTTTTTCCGTGATATTTTGCACAAATGATTATGTAATCTCGTGCCAAAAATATCATGACAGAAAAATCCACATTATCATATGAAAAAAGTCGGATAAATAATTAATATTAATCGCACTGCCGTAATACCACTCTAAATAGCTTATTACTTGATCACGTATCCCCTTAAACAAAAAAAAATAAAATAAAATAAGAAACCATAATCGATATAAACATAAAATCGATATAAAACATAAAATCGATATAAACATAAAATCGATATTTGAATTATGTATTCTCAAAGAAACCTAAAAGAGATTATGATATAGTGATAGACTTACTTACTTATACTAGTTTTTTAATAGTTAATTTATTATGACACATACTGTAAACTACGTATAACTGACGAAATTGTGCATATTTGATGTATTTTATGATCTCAGACCGTTAACTTAAAAATTTTAATCGCCGATTAAACCTATCATTGATAATAGTAATAATTTATTCATATGAATATCTTTGACATTATACAAAAAATATCACAATATATTTTAAAACATCATTATTGCAACCTGTTAGGATTTATTCCGATTACTTAAAATTTCGTTCACATGTATATAATAAAACCTGTCATCACATGTATTAAATTGGGATCGTACAGGGTTTCAAGAGATCACATTCTCTTTTTTGTGAAAAATATTGTTTTCATAAGTCCGCAATAAATGCTTTTGAATCATAAAGATCATCAATTTAAGTTATATAATTTAAGTTATCGATTTATCTGGGGTTTTGGGGCAGTGACGCATATTTAAATTTTTTTGCATTAGCGTCAAAATAAAATCTCTCATGTCACGATCGTCAGATCGTGTAAAAATTTCACCATGTTTAGAATCTTCGAATGTTTGATTATTAACTCTCTGAATTTAGCCTGATGAAAATGATAGGATTTTGTCATCCATGTTTTCAAAAATATAAAAAGATCAATTTCTTTCCAATCTAAAAAATTTTTCAATCTCTAAATTCAAAAACAAGAAGTGATAAAAAAAAAAAATTAAAATTCAATCCCAAACCCTTACTCTCAATGGCTACCACACAAACATATCCATCTCCAAATGTGCAGCCTAAGTTGGTAAAAAAAGAAGATGGATCCAAAACTGATGCTTGGTGGGCAAATGCCGTTTTCGTCATCATCGTACATTTAATATCGGCAATTTCACTTCTTGTTCATGCACCTACCGCAAAAACGATGTGGTTAACCATAATCTTCTTTCAATTGGGAACTTTTGGGTTTCTATCTTTTTTTTTTTTTTTTAAAAAAAATTTTTTTTTTTTATTATCATTTGTTATGAAAATCTAATAACCATATAAACTTTAACTTTATTATAGAATAACTATAGGTTACCATAGGCTATGGAGTCATAGAGCATTTACTGCTCGCTTACCATTACGTTTTCTTCTTGGAATAATGGGTACACTCGCCTTCCAAGGTTCAATAAAATGGTGGGTTCTCAGACACAGATTACACCACAGGTATGAATTTTATTATTTTATTACCTTTGAAAAATATTTATCTATTTTTATAACAAAAAAATTAATTATTTTATTCCATGTTTAGATTCACTGATACTGAACACGATCCTTATTCTGCTGCTAAAGGTTTCTGGTTTTCTCATATGGGTTGGATTTTTACCAAACCATATTATCCACGATTAAAACTTATCGATGCCACCGACTTGAATTCCGATCCAATCGTCGTTTTCCAGCATAAAAATTACGTTTTCTTGGCTTTATTCACCGGTTTAATCCTTCCTGCCTGTATCGCTGCCACTTGGGGTGACGCTCTTGGTGGTCTCTTATATGGTGGCTTTTTCTGTCGTATTTTGACTTGGCATGCTACCTTCTGCATAAATAGTTTTGCTCATTGGGCCGGTGATCAACTTTATTCTAATGAAATCTCTGCACGTGGTAATTTATTGCTTGCCATAATGACTAATGGTGAAGGATATCATAACTATGTAAGTTTTTTTTTTTTTTATATATTCTTTTGAATTTAACATAAATAAAAATATTCTTATCATGTTATATCATGTTATACTATCTCTTTAGCATCATGAATTTCCCAAAGATTATCGTAATGGTTACAGATTATTCGATTATGATCCTAGTAAATGGGTAATCTGGTTCTTTCATTGTTGCACTAATCAAGTACCATCCGTTGCCAGAGTTCCAGATAATGAAATTCGAAAAGCTCGTTCAAACATGAAATTACTTGAAGCACAACGTGAACGTGACCAATGCGATTGGGGTGTCGATCCAAATACTCTTCCTATCATGACTTATAATGAATTTCAAGAAAAAGTAAAAAATGAAGGAAAAGAATGGATGTTAATTGATGATTTTGTTTTAAATGTTGAAAATTTTAAATCTTCACATCCTGGTGGGTCAAAATTATTAGGTTCTTATTATGGAAAAGATGCTACAAGAGCTTTCCATGGTGGGTTAAATAATCATACAAAGGCTGCGAAAACCATGTTGGCTATGTTTAGGGTTGCTAAGATTAGTAAAAGTGAAACTGAGTTGTAATTTTCATTTTTTGTAACATTTTTATAAAAGAAAAAGTTTATAGTTATTTCAGTTATTGATTAATTGATCACGCTCATTAACATTATATCTATTCATCACGCTCATTAACATTATATCTATTCATCACGCTTATTAACATTATATCTATTCATCATGCGTTGTAATTGTTATTTTCTTCCACAATTGGTTTTTATCCTTGAATATAAATTTCGTGGTATTAATTTCATTACCATATTATTGGGTACCTAATTTTTATACAGTTAAAATAATTTTTTATCCTTGATTAGAAATTTGTGGAATTAATTCCATTATCATGTTATTGGATACCTAATTTTTATACAGTTAAAATAATTTTTTATCCTTGATTATAAATTTCGTGGAATTAATTCCATTATCATATTATTGGGTACCTAATTTTTATACAGTCAAAATAATTTTTTGAGATTTATTTGGTAGATAATCAGTAAACAACCTCTAATATCGACATCCAGTCAATCAACATAAAGTATGTAGAAATTTTGCATATGAAAACTATTTCTTGAGTTATAACAAAAAAAATCTCGTGAAATTTTGGTATAAGTCCTACTCTTACCTAACGTTATTTTGACCCTTAACCCTAATTTATTAATAAACGTTTAATCTTTAAAAAAAATAACAATGATCTTTTCTAATTTGGGTGGAGGTACATGGATGCACTCGCTTTAAAACTAGGTAACGATAATAACAAATTCGTTAATCTATTAATTGAGCATTGACCAGTTTAAACGAGCACGGTGGCTTAAATTGTTTTCGTTACACATCCAATATAATGATTGCATACGTAAAGTGATCTTTATTTGTAACCAAATTTGGATAAAAAAATTTCATGCTAGACGTATAATGCAGAAAAACAAGATCGTGGCATCCTGAACAAGAATTAAACATGTTAACTAATTTCTTGTCCTTTAGATTGGATATTCTCACATATTTAAATCAGTAACCTTTATAAGCGTAATTAATAAATTAAAAAGGGTTAGTACAATATATATATTTTTTCACTCTACTTGTCTTAATATATTAAAAATATGATTTCGTGATTTATATTTTATTGGCAAAGCCAATTACGTTAATATAAAATATTCTAATAAATTACATAATAACAACGTTTCCAGCATTTCCGGCAATTACACTAGGATGAGTTACACTAGGATGATATGAATATACACTTTTTATTCTGTTCAAATGCAATGAGTATTTAATGATTATTTTTTAGTTAATTTCTTTTTTTTTATGGATGCTACGTTTAAATGATGTCCAGCCCTTAATTGGATTGGAACTATTCTATTAGGCGTTGGTTTGCGTTGGGTTTTATCTTGTTTTTGTTGTAACGCCATTTTAGCCTATATGACCAGAAATGCACTCATTAATAAAACCGAATAAATAAAAAAAAGTAATTTATAGACAAATTTGACCTACATTATGTACAGCATTTGAAGTCAAATCCCTAAGTAATAGTTCTGTTTCCCTCGTCCTTGGATGTTCGGCTCCGAACTAAAAAACAAAATGTGACTTTTAAATCAAATGAAATTGGTATTTGATTTGGTCAATTCAAAATCTGATCCATTAATTACCACAGCATGGAAAATGTGATACGCTGACTTCTCAGCAATCAATGCAGCCTTGTAATCCTCCGCATACGCAAGAGCTTTGGCAAGAAGATGATATCTAATAAATAAAAAAAAAGTACGCAAATCAAACTCTGATTTGAACATTAATATATACATATTTTTTTTATCTGAATTTTTATGATCTTACGATTCTCCAGTTACGACATTATTTTTTCCAAAGACAAATTCATTTGTATTCTTGGCTCGCTCAAAGAATTTTATGCTACCTTCGTAGTCTTTCATGTTTTGAAGCATAATTCCGACATTATGCTATAGTTAATAATAAAAATATAATCAATAACCGTTTAAATCCTGCATACTTAAAGGTTCCATATTACTTACATCTGCTGTAGCTCCATCAGGATGCAAATTCCCAAAGATAATCTCCCAATAATACATGGCATGCCGCATATGCTTGAGACCTAACTCGGTGTGGCCAATAGCATTTTCAAAAAGGCCAAGATGTAACTGCAAATTTAATAAATATAAAGATCAAAAATATCTAATTATTCGCTATAACCGCATTAAAATGTTTTTTATTCAACTTACGTAACCATGAATAGCATCCACGCTATCGACGCCACAGGTTCTCTCAAGAACAATAACAGCTTTTTTTTGAAAGTCAATAGCAATTTCCAAGTCTTCATTATGGTAAAAGCACATAGCCAATGCTGAGTAACATTTTGCTGTTGCTGGATGTAAAAATCCATAACTTTGCTCATGTAATGCGAGAGATTGTAACATGAGATCAACACCAAGATCTCTATTGCCTAATTTACAGATATCAATTAATCATTGGTATATATAATACAGAATAAATATCGAGGAAATTTTGCAATAATATATTAATTATACCCTGTGCTATACTAAGTTTTCCGGTTTCAAAGGTTTCTTCAGCAAAAGCACACTACATTTATGACAAAATTCATTAATAACTATAATAAAAGAAAAATAAATAATATAAAGTTCTTCCTAATTTTACTTTGGGTGTTGCTTGCTTGATTGTTGGTATAAGGTTCAGTATGTCATCAGGTATAAATGTAGTAACTCTCTTTTTGGATTTCTTTTTTAAAAAATGATATCCTTGAGCTGCAACTTGTACACCAACTCGTAGGCATATCTCTCTAAGCAACGGTAATTTTCGAACGTGAACGCTAATGAAATCTTCTGGAAGTCGATAACGGTAACGTATAAGTACCGTTTCGCGAATTTGTTGGCAAAGTGACGATGGTGTAAGGGTTAGGTAATCATATTCAAGATTTTTAATACTAGTGGTAGGGTCTGGCACTAAAGGCTGGGGGTTCATATTAAAATCTGTGCCTAATAAGCAATTCAAAAAATGTGAAATACAATACGGGATGTACGTATTCGTGATTTGTCGAAGAAGATCACGAAGGATGCGTTTTGATGCTCGGATTATCATTTCATGTATAATAAGATGCTATATAAATTAATTGCAAATAAATTAGCTTCATGCAATTAAAGAACGGCGTTCTAGTTTTTCAGAGCGAAGCGGAAAACACTTCTAACGACATCATGTGAAATCTGTTCGACCCCTCCTGTAATGATGATCAATCACAAGATAATTTACCTTTACATGATCTAATTTATGATCCTGTGATTCATTAATAATATTAGCAATCATTCCCAAATACCGCATATTGATTCCCCGACGGTGCATCGTTGTAGTGAGAGATATACCGTCAACAGGTGATACAGCTAGAGTAGTAAATTCTATAATCTATTATATGTTGTATAAAAATCAAATATGGATAAAGAGAAATTTTTCTTGACAAAGTTTACATATCAACAAGTACATACCAACATCCGAATAACCGTATCTCTCAAATATTTGGACGCATTCCGCACGTTATCTTCATCAGCAGTCTTGTTTGCTGCATGCTCCTCTCCCGTTGGAGTATTAAAATTTGTAAATGCATCCGGATTAAAAGCTAAATTAAACTCATCAGATTCTGAGATTGCAGCTTCCTTAGTCGAATCGCCAGCCTCCTTTAATGATGAGAATGAAATTTGTTAATCTTCGTACTATACATCAAGGAAGCAAAACAGAAATATGTTAACGTAAGTATTTGGTTTTATATACTTTTTCTTTGGCTTTATCTTGCAACCACAACCGGAACCTATAATCCCAATATGATTCGATCAATTCTGGTCTAAGTAACGCCAGCCTGTGAGGATAGGCAGGGATATCGCTCCCTTCCTTAGGGTCACATTCGTTTTCTATAAATTCTATATCGACTGGATTAAGGCGATACAGATCGAATAAGTACCGCCGTCCATCGTCACCCATCAAGCCCTAGCAACAATGTATTTAGATGAAATATTTAGATAAATTTTCACAGTTGTTACGGCTGATGTTAAAACTTCCATATACAAATTTATTACAATATATTAGAATGATCTATAACAAATAATTGTTTGATCGGCAAAAAAAAAAAAGATCAACATAATTTTACCATCAGCCGCTATAATATTTAAACAAAAATTCAAATATATCAAATATCCAACCTTTGTTTCCAAAGAAGTGTAAAGTTTAACTGTCGTTCCTTTTGTATCACAAACGCTGAATTTTGGCCAAAGTATATTTAAAATGTCATTTACTTATAAGAAAGAAACAGTATAATCCAAAATATTACCTGTGTTCTGCAAGATGAAGTGCCTTTGCAGCTTTCCCCACTATTTCATGAAACTCCGCATTAGCACATAATTTTGGATCATCACGTCCATTGTCAAAATAGCCGTATACAATAGAAGAATCATCTTGACGCCTGAAGATTCCTAGATAAATAGTGGAAATGAGAAAATTTCAAACGTACGAAAACAGATTAATAAAAATAAATCCTGTAAACCTGGTACAATAGTTTGCGCAACTATGCGGACACCCTTGTAATCTATAACAACACAGCCAAGTGTATATAATCCCTCTATGTCAATAGAATTCACAGTTCTTATTCCTTCCATATCTTTTCCAGTGGCTACATGTGCTGCATCGTTCCCACCAAGTTTTGAGAATGTCCCTCTCGTATCAAACGCTTTACTGAAAAAAATGTTGTTGTACACATACATGTGTTCGTCCTCGGGATCACGAGGATTGAAAGGAATGACATTACCATTAATAACAGCGATGGCACCCTTGACAGCACTCTCTGTGAAATCGGCCTGAATTTTATTAATGAGTCTTTCGCGTAACACCCGATCTCTCAACTCGACCCGCGGGTATTCACGTTGAGATTGAAACTCATCATTCCAGTCTCGGAGCGAGTCAACAGCGTCCATTCCGAAATTCAAATATATTTCAGTTGCACGACCCATATCATAAGTATGTTTGGATTG